CCGGAAAGGAGGTAATGTGTTCCGACCGCCTACCCGTGTGGAATCTGTGTGCGTGCCAGGAATTAACAAGTTGGCTGATGGGACGAAGGTGAATGCAAGACAGCTACATACAGCGCTTTCCCAACATGCTGTTGTACAGACGAACACATCGTTCGGTACAAACTAATACAAGCTCACGACGTTCCGGTCGGATACGCCACCCTGTCTACCGATACGCTTTAACGGATAAAGCCACATGACAACTCTTCGGGGTGCTGACATTAAATTAGATCGTTCATGGACATGCAGTGACTATGTTTTTACAAACAAAGGAGGGGACAATGTCGTGTTCAAATACTTTGCTTTGTTTTGGCCCTCGATTCGCATATCCTACACTTCCATGTAGCACACGTTGGCCTATCACGCGATCTTGCATTTGATTGCTCGCAATGTGAACCGCCATCATTGTAATCGTTCTGCGCGTGTGTGCAGACAGTTTCCTCCAGACTTACGTTCCGGTGCTGCTCTGCTCTGCAGCTGTTTAGGGATCCAACAGTTATGATGTAATATTCCTCGGTACTTTCTTTATGATAATCTTCATAGCACAAGTATTGGAACATTAGTGTCGCATGATCGCCTCAGCCAAATGAGTGCACGTCGGTACTACGTCGATCATCAGTTCCTCGTTGGTAAAAGCGAGGTCCAAGATGGCCGGTTCGTTTCCTGATGAATGCAGCCCATCTTGTGACAGCCGATATCCTTGGTAAGTTAGAGTTGGAATAAATAATTCCCACAATTCCTTTTTTTAGACAAGTCTGTAATCTAGCAATCCATGCAGTATACATCCAAGAGGTGTAGATGTACTTCAGCTGTGCGTCTAGTGATCACCATATCATCCATATAGGCACATGTATTTCATTGATGTGTCGGCATTACTTTGGAATTTAGCTGGTGCAGTTTGGTTCAAAAGGCAAGTATATGTAACGAAATGATCCGTGTGCGTTGATCGTGATGTAGGTACCTGAGTCCTCGTCGAGTTTGATCTGCTGGTAGAAATGACTCAAGTCTAGTTTGGTGAAACTTTTGCCACATGAGATGGAAGCATAGATGTCTTCAATCGTTGGCAGTGGGTATCGGTCCGGCTGTAGTGCCTGCTTAACTGTAACCTTGTATTCCCCATAGATCCTTATGAAACCAACGCTCTTCAATACAGTCACTATTGATGCTGTCCAACCGGAATACTGGACAGGTTCAATTGTGCCCTTTTGCTGCAGTCGGTGGAGCTCACTCTTGTCTTTGTCTCGAACAGCTTAAGGTACGGTACGCGCTTCCTAAAATTTCGGTCCTGCATGTGGTTTCCGCGTCGAATTTGCCGCGTAATGCTTCAGCAACCATGGGTTAGTTAGGTCAAACAAGGCTGATTATTGTTGCAAAATCCCGGAGAGTTGCGGACGAGCTTCCACAGTGCTGTCGTTTAATCTGATGTCATGAATAGATTTTATTTTTTCGTGGCTAAGAATATTAGAGCCGGCTCCCCCAGAGACGTACACACGGATGTGGTTAGTTGAGTTGCGGTAGAACATGCACGCCAGAAAAGCACCCAGTACATTTAACAACTGTCCAGTGTAGGATTGTAATTGTGTTTAGGATGATCTAATATTGGCAGTTGCAATAGGGAGTCTGGTCATAGCAAAGCAACTGTGAAATCGGTAGAAATTTCGAAACCCACATGTTGCTCGTTGACTTGGATAGACACCGCAACTATCGTGATTAAAACCTGTTGTGGTGTTCATCCAGTTCTACTTTGACTCCTCGGTGATCTGACTGCTAGTTTCGAGGTCTCCTTGCGCAACGGAAATTCGTATGGAAAGATACACTTTCTGGATGTACACTCTTTTCCCACAAAATCTGCTTACTGAATTTAGACGCTGATAGTCAGCCAGTATTGAATGCTATTCACCACAACGATAGCCACGGAATTCTCTACGTTGTGCAGAGTGGGACAATGTGTTACCAAATTTAGCTTGAGAGACTTTGTGTACCACATGCGAAATTGTCTGATCGGGCAGGAAGAATGCCGTTAGTACCTGAATGAGATTAGCAAGTTGTTGAATTAGGTCACAGGCTCTTCACTAAGAATCTTTTCATCCTCAGATAAATAAATAAATAAATGATATATTTCTCGACATGCGAGACACAGGCAGACTACGAGCCTGATCATGTGGTACAACAAAGTCGACGCATATGAACCTAAACAAATATGTGCGCAGATCTTCCACTGGTTTTGATTGTGGCTTGCCGAACAACCTCCTCGTGGTGCCAGCTGGGTGGTTCGAGATTTTCCCGTTCCAGCAAATGGTTCCGCGGCAGTGTTCCAGGACGTGGTGGGTTTTCGCCTGGCAAGCGTTCTCCCTATAAAAAGCCACATATGTCCGTTTATCAACACTGTGACGTGGCGGACGTGACTCGCCACTAAATAAAGTCACTGCCCCTTGCTTCATCCTGGCGAAGCATTGTATTCCAGCAAGTTGATGCTGTAATTTCTGGGAGCATTGGGCCCCTGTTTGGCAAAGGAACAAACGAAAGGCATACGAACTGAGCAATCAGTCACCGGCTCACAATGGGCGCGATTCCCTGAATTCTCTCCGCTGCCTTGCGGACAGGCTATTCAGCCAAAGGCTCGGGGTGGTGTCCCCTAAGTCAACACCCTACTTCGGCTTGGGCAACCGGGTAGTATTTCGCCCTCTGACGAAACCGTGGACTTTGATGTGTTGTGTTGTATTTTCTTTTACTATTTCTGTACCTTGTTTTGAGTTCCATGGTTTCCGATGGTGCAATGTCTATTCATAGACTGTTGCAAATATATATATATATATATATATGCACCATATCCTGAATTGTTTTGAGTCTGTGGCATTCTTCGTCTTGTGGTCCCCAACCTGGCAGGCGTGTGGATTCAAATACAGCAAGACGTGAAGTCAACGGTTTCATTTGCTGTCACTAAGTGGTAGGTTGACCACCTCGCAGTCGCCGCCAATGTCGAAGTCAAAGAGCCGCCGCGTCATTGTGGGATGCTACTCAGATACTAGTATCAAGAGTTGGTATATGAGAAACGTATCGAATACGGAAGTACGGAGAACAATTATATTGGTTGGATCCGACATGTAATGATAGATGCTACAGAGTGTATGGCAGGTAAGTAAAGGCCGACGGTGGTGTGCAGCGTGACTCACGAGGAAAACAAGTGGTCGGTAGGTACCATCAGTTAAACAAGCGGACAATCGAAAGATCTGAACAGAAATAAAACCCAATGTCTCGCGTTACTAAATCATGAAAGATCCATGTTCACTGCATCATCTACACGAACCGGTCATCACTAGCTTCCATATAGGAACCCCGCCCGAACGGTTACATTGTGAACACCATCATTTATCAAGAAGGTGACATCTTGGCGACGCCGCAAATGCTTCAGTTTGACAAACACCACTCGAGTCTTGGCGATGTGGACAGAAACTTACTATCCATTGGTACCATTAACAGGCACACAGCTTCCCAGGTAGACAACACTTTAAACGTGCTCAAGCGCAGTGTACCTTCAAGAGTGAACACGGGAACAGGTGAGTGCCAAACCTGAAGTAGTACTTTACACTTCGACAATGGAACCATAGTGTAATAGGGGTGAAAAGCAAATGCCTAACAAGTCCCTTAGGGTGGCCAGAATGAGGACCACAAAGTGGTAAAAGGACAACGGTGATCAAACGAAAGGCGTTTCGGTGAGCTTACGATAGTTGTTCCACAGATACATGCGGAAAAAGCCAATCTGGATTGTGTAGGTTAATTCAGGTTAACATTGGTCAGATTATGTCGTTTGTTGATGCACACAGGCTATATCTCTTAATGTCTGTGGGTTAGGGCAATGTCAATGCATTTTTAAACACAGATAAAATTGGGGCTGAAATAATGCGGCGAAGTATATTCCGTACTTAGATGGTTCAATCAGCAAAGGTTTTAGAATGGCTGGCATACTCTGCTAGTCATCACCAAATAAGGTGATGTCATCGGAGCTAGCTTACCCGTTAGCAGTTTCAGTTCAAATTCTTGGAACTCCACCAGCGGTCTGGACAGGACGTCTTCAGTCGCAAAAGTGAAGTAGAATGGGTCCATAGGGCAGCCTTGTAGTAGGTTGTTGTTAACATCGAAGGACGAAGAAAGATTACCATAAACCCTCACTCTGTCGGAGACGTGGAGATAGAGTGTGCGTATGATGGTTGGATACCTTACTTGGACCTCGTTGCTTAACAAGCAATACCATGGCGAAGGTCGATCGACAAAGTCGAATGCAGCAAAGAAGTTTAGGAATGCAACAATGGTAAGACTCCGGAAGATATGGCGGTATTCGAGTATTTGGCGGAGCGGGAATATTTGATTCACAAACTCACGGACAGGAACGGAAGCCAGTTTGTTCTTCCTGGTAACGCAATTCACAAATTGGGGATAGTCTACGAAGTAGAATGGATGCCAATAGTTTGGAGGCAACCAAAATGAGACTAATCCTTTGGTGGTTGGCGCATGAACTGTGAGCACTCTTCTTAAAAATTGGGACCACTGAGTCATCCTAGCCGGAACTCACCATTTCTTAATGTCAAATTTTGGAAAACAACGAGATTGGCTGGCTGATGATAACTGCGTCGCCATAATTTTACAGCTCTGGAGGAAGTCCGTTTGAGCCTTGAATGGTTTTGAGTGCCGAATTGTAAACATAACTTCGACTTCGCTGGATGGATCGAGTGTGAGCACGCTTGGCTTGCGCTGTCCAGCTGCGGTGAAGCAGCACGATACATGCAATATCAACCTCAGTCTGCGGCACAGATTGAAAAATGTTCTCATCGATAATGCTTTCCAAATGAAACATTGATGTCAAAACATCAGCAGTACGTAGAAGTGTTTACTCTAATCTTGAATGAAGTACGTCCCAGACGTCTTCATGATACAAAGCCAAAGCATCGCGGTGCTTATTAAATATGGAGATACCAATGCAGTACTTACCAAAAAAATTTGTTTTGATTGTGAGTAATAAGAGATCTCGTTTAGGTCTCTTTTGGGGCCCTTTGGCCGAGCTCTTTATGTCAAAACGTAAAAATGGCCTACTAAGAACGTATATCAACGAAGTGGAAATGTAGGTAAGATATTTCGATGATACATTCGTATTTTGGAAATCGAAGAAGCAAATTGTGCAGTTGATGGAAGTCTTTAACAATTCACATGTAAATCCTCGCTTTTACTGGGAACGAAATTTCAGTTATCAGCTTATGTTTCTGGATATACACATCCGAGACGCCAATGGATCTTGCAGCAGAATAATACGCAGGTAAAGCGCATGGATTAGACATTATACCAACTTCCACAGCGTGATACGTTTTCAATACAAACGGAGCTTGGTGCAATCTGTCGCCTTCAGGGCGCGCAGTATCTGCACGCTAGATACCGCTTATAAGGAAGTGCAGAAAATCAGCGACACCCTTAAAGAAATTACGTACCTAGACACATTTATCCTGGAGTATCTGAGAGTACGTGAACTTCAACCACCTAAGAGCGTTGTTCCTAAGGAAGAAGCTTTCATGTATTTACTTTTCAAGGACGACGTTACTGCCAATGTGTTATGCCCACACTTAAAATATGCTGTTGAGAAGGCATATTCCGTAGCTCACTTGTGAATTTTTTATTACAACTAGCCACGATTTGTCTGTCTTTTGCAAGGTAATCCAACCTCGTCCGCTCGCTCAGTGCTTGTTTATCAATACTCGTGCTTTTGTGGTGCACGGTACGTCGGTCGCACTTCGAGGCGTTTATCCCAGAGAATCCGCGAGCATATCCCAATGTGGTTCTACAGAGGTAAAAGGAAGTCTTCACACCGCTCAATTTTGACGCACCTCCATTCATATGGACATGTAGCATCGGAGAACGACTTCAAAGTGCTCTACGCATTGCCTGAACGTTACTCGCGATGCTTCCGCAAACAACTGCTATCCATCACCGAGGCCACTTGAAACCCAAGTTATGTGTACAACTTTTCATAGCAACTTAAGGAAGCAAGGCAGAACAGCTGTGGAGATTGTCCAACGATCATGTACTAAGCTGATCATGGGGCGCTGTTCGAACCTTTTATTATAATCGCTGTCGATAACTTTAAATGGATCCTTTTTGGTGGAGGCTTAAGGAACGTCATCCCACTGTTCCACAATATTAATAAGAAACGAATACATGCAGACAGCGCTGCATTTGAGCCATGGAAGAATGCTGTCTACTTCACACGAAGTGACGGCTCTTTACTACCATCAAAGTTTGCAGATTCTAAAAGTAGAACGAATTTCTTCTTAGTGAGATGCACCGATCTTTGGAACAAACTATTCCTACAGATACGCATGAGTGCAAACCATGTCAGATTTTGGAAGTCCCTAGAACTTACTATAGTAAATGTGTTGAATATCTTTGATTCACTACAAACTCTAGAAACATTGACGGAAGCTGATAGAAATATTATATATGCGGTTTGTTGTTTAAAATCAGCTTACCCCTTCCATATCATTACCCACAAAACCAAAGTTCTATCCATGCAGCCCATAATCGCCTTCCTATTATTACCTACTCACAAACTAAAAAACGGTGATATAAGTACCGGTACATTTGACATCTTACTTAGTCGGGTCTAGCATTCCAGGAAAATTTCATTATCTGTAATTCTATTATTTAAACTTTTTGATTATTACAAATATGACACATGAACTTCTAAACCTATTCAGCATACGAATGATGCTTGTGTTTAGGGGGCCGTATACCCCTTGTCAGTGAAGATACAAATTTCTTAGTTTATTTACTGTTGTTACCTTGGCCAACGAGCAGTTACTTAATTAGTTGATTATCCAGCAGCATATCTTGCTCTTTTCATGATTGTTCTTTTTATTCTATTTGTTGACCGAGTACATTATTTGTAGCTGTGATTTAAATTATCGGCTCCATTGTTCAAACTCTATGTAATCACTATATAGCACTTTCCTACACTTCTACATATAACCCATCATGTAAACGTAAGGGTCTGGTGGGAATTTACTCGAAAAAATCCTTCACCCACATTTCGATTTCTGCTTTTGACTATGAACAATGAAATAGGAATATTTGGTTTGCTGAAGCCTAGCATACGACATGATTTACCCAGGCTTCTGAATTAATAAATTAATAGAAACAAGCCCCACAATTACCACTTCCTAAGTTCAGAGAAACACTGTACGCCAATTAAATTGGGGTCATAGTTCAGGTGCATGCGGGTATTTGTGGGTACATAATTATACAGTGTTTCAAGGCAACACAAAGTTTGTGCCCTGATACATGCAGTTGAGAAGACAACATTCAGGCAGTGCATGGATAATTTGTGCAGTTCGCCAGAGTGAATGTATCTGTTAGGCGGAACAAAAGATAGGGATAGTTTACTTCACCCAATGCATACTTCTTGTCGGAAGATAGTGTCTGTTAAGCAGCTTGCCGCTAAAGGTTCATCCATACCATGGTTGAAGCAAATGATCTTTCAGTCATTTAAAACCAAAACCTTTGGGGCATGTTGTATTAATGTGAGGCGAAACGCAGTATTATTGAGTGATCTTTGGCTGGCACATGCATGCACGATGCTTTTAAAGGCTAAGATGCCTTAGGTGTTGAAGGTTGGAAGCTTTATGCGGTCTTCTCACAACTAGACTCAATCTAGTGGTCCCTGCCTCCTGAAAAAGCGCTGGATTGCGGTTTAATCCTATCAGTACCTCTTGGCTGTACGAATAAGCCTGAATTCTTCCAGATACAAATGTATGCCTTAGCAGCTTGGATCCGAACGATCGCAGAAGAGTGACGCAGTTCAGCTATGACGAAACGAACTAAAGCTCGCAGATTTATTCTACTGCGTGTTCAGTGTCAGTGTTTATCCTAGATAGTTGGGGAGCCACCAAGGAAACATTTGGCACTCGCAATGTTGTGTTTCTGAGTTCCTATCGGGTGGGTAAGCCAAACTCCACCAGTGAACCAGCAACTGCGATGTCAGGCTTTGCTCGCGGATCTAATTACTCTAGTGATCAGGGCATCAACCATCAACTACGTCCAGGGCTCCAATATCAGCTACAGCTATCTTTGCCTGAGGTGTCTGGACCATTGCACACTTGTCGGGGCGTTCAATGCTGATGGTGTACGGTACCAGATCTCTTCGATTTAACACTAGTGTATGCCCCATACGAGTTGTGCAGTGGATCTTAGCGCACCAAAGCGATTCCAGGAGGTGCGTATCGGAGATTTCCTTACCTGTATTGGTCACTATGAATAACTCTCGTCCGTGTCGCAAGTGAGATGAACAAGCATTTGCGGGCAGAATGTGGCAGCCTCCGGCAGTTTGGGTTTCGTCAGTTGATCCCAAGCTTCCCCTTTTAAATACCATACAAAGGCGCACAATGCAGTGTTAGAGTCAGTTCGCTCAGCTGTATGGCCGTTAACCAGTTTTTATAACGAGATGTAAGAACACAACGAAGGGTATTTGAAAAATTTCGTTTGCTAGATGTCTTCGTGGGAATTCCTAATCCGGATACGGGCTGTCACTAATTTTCCGAAGCGAGGGCGGGTTAGATGGTCAAAAATGGTTACTTGGATTCGGTGTTGTCATGCGAGCCCTCGTTGAGTATTCCGAGTAGTCGCGCGGTTCTCAAAAACCGACATTTCTGGTCATGTTTATCGGCTGGCAGTAGCTATGGACAGATGTGAATCGTCCCCCGAGCTGCGTATCAGATCATCTTGGCTTACTGATTTGCTTCGGTCTGGATAGTTAATCTGACCTTGACAATATGGATCAAGCTCGCAGGACGGATAAACAAATCAGCATTATACCGCCTACTTTCGCTCGTCTGAGCTGTTATCTTCTGCCGAAGTGGTGCAACTTGCTAAGTCACGCCCCTCAGCCTTGATAGTGGCCTTTTTCCCGAGTGCCCAGCACCGCATCACTGCACGAATGTCTTGATCTCGTGGGTCAGCAATCTAGGTCATAGTATGTAGCATCAGATTATACTCGGAAGCATTTTCTATCTCCATGCCTACGATTGCAGTTGGCTACGACACTCTTCGGACAGTAATGTAGATCGGTTCACAAATAAGCCACTTTCACAGTTTGCAAATCTACAACGTCGACAATTGCTGACTGTGGCCAGCTTGCGGGATGGCAGCTAAAAACGACCACTGGCTTGGATGTCTGTAGGTTCCGCTGGTAAGTTTACAATGTTCTTATCCAAAGGTGCGCCTGCCGGAAGCCGCTGATCGTCTGTTGTGTTGAGCGCATGCGGAAAGTTAACGTCTAGTTAACTCGGTGCGCTCATTCATCTGCGGGGCCAGAATACGTCCCCGGATACTCTCACTCATTGCCCTTTGGGGTTGTCTAAGGATGAGTACTACCGTTCACTAACCAATCTTCTTAAAATTGCTCTATGGAAACCGTTGTACTTGACTGTTGGTGAGCCCGTTTGATGAACTACGAATCACAAGCAGGGCTTTGCCGCTTAAGAAATCAATGTGAACGATCTAGGGTATTATGGATCGCTTTTTGTTTTTGTTTTGTTTTTTACTAGAGCCAAACGATTTCGCCACTTACGCTTTGGCGCAACCAAACTTACGGTCCCAAAAGTTATCAGCCCTTTCATAATGAATTAGCTTCATACCTAGGATTCTCTATCCTTAAACACTGGTGTCAACTGAGGAAGTATTCACAGCATCCATCAAAAGCCGCTACTGTGATTCATGGTTTTGCTAATAGGCTTGGCAACACTTGGATCTGTGCACTGTCTGTCGTGCTCCTAGAAGTTCTGTTTGTGTTACCTAAAATTTACTGCACAGGACTACCGACGCTGAACTCAGACAGCTCCACAGGTTAATTGGTGAGCTTGGTGGGCGCAGTATGTCCCCGAGGTGGGACAGACAGCTGTCGGGATAAATTCCAGCAAGCCCTCCATACTGTCCGGATTCTCTAGTGACAGTTGTCGACTGGAAGCGAAGTTCCATGAGAGACCCGTGGAAAACCAAGTCATACTTGCAGACGCTAACTTGAATGCTTGGCTGGGCGCTGCAAACAGCAGCTTAACCGAGCAGTCACACCGATTATTTCATCTTCATGGATTCACACTGCTCCAGTGTGTGTGTGTGGCTGTTTTAGTATTATTTGGGACTGAGATTGCTTATGAAGCACCACAAAGTGTCTGGCACCGATAAACGTTCTCTAACTCTTTGCATAGGGGCCCATTACCAACCAATGAGTTAACTTTCCTTCTTCAGAAGGTTTAGATGGCGGAAGTAATCCAGTCTTTTCGAGGTTTGGAAGATTTTGTACGCGTGTTCAAAAAGTGAACCAACAGTATACCTTGACGTTTGGGGGTTTAGGCCGAGGCACGTTTTATCTAACGTGCTTTTCGCCCTGTTTCTACGCAGACTAAATCGGGTGCGCGTGCAAGACATCTGCCAAGAGAAAGTTGTATTCGGTACAAGCAAACTCAACCATACAACCACCAAACAGTTAGAAAATCACTGGATAGCAGTGAAGCTGTCATAACCTCCAGCAGCAAAACTCGTACTCAGGAAATTAAGCCTCGCTTTACGCCGAAAGTCAGTCATTGACGCTTGCACCCGCTGACTCTCATCACTGGAAATAGCAGCTTCTGCAAACCAGACATGGTTCATGGACTGGACCCACCTGGGGGTTAGAAAACTCCGCGCTGCTACTCTGTTCAAAATGTTCCACTTCATGCGCAGGCACAATTTAAAAACATACAACTGTGTGTGGTATTCATGTAGTTGTTGTGGTATTTGTTGCATTCAACCTGGTACATGTATTCAGTGGAATAATCTTCGGTTTCGAACGACCAACACGCGGGTCCGAGTGGTGTTGCAGTTCACACTGCTGAAACAATGGCGTTTTACAGATAAAAAAAACAAATGCCTAACAAGTTCAGTACGATAGCGAGAATGAGAACCACAAAATAGTGAATGAAAAGCGCTTTGGCGGAATCACCATAGTGTACACACAGAAAGATGCAGAAAAGAGCCAATCTCGATTGCGTAGGTTAATTCTAGTTATGCAACGTTCGTCACATTAAATCATCTGCCTGTGTACACAGGCTGTAAGTAAGTGGGCTAGGGCAAAGTTGTCATTTTTTAAAGACAGTTAAAGTGGGGACGGAAACAATGTAATTTGGGAGGATGTTCAATGGCTTGAACACACGAAGAGAGTACAAGTTTCGTAAACCTTCTAGCCGGCTGTATTGCGTAGCCAACTTGAGCTGGTGGCCCCTCAAATTCGTGCTGTGACTGAATTGCAGTAGGTGGCTGCAGACGTGGTTGAGGTACCTCAAAAGCTGGTAGATCACTATTATGTCGCTACGTAGGTAACGGTACCGGTCGTTGTACAATCTTACGGTCCTCATTCTAGATTGATGTGGAAGGTGAAAGAAACCATTCATGTGCTTGGTGGCCCTTCGATATGGAGTCTCGAGTGTTGCGAGATCTTGCCTGTCCCATCGCTGCCAGGCCTGGATTGCCTGTTCCACATATGGCTGAACGTATGTGTTAAGCAATTGCAAACAGACAAATGTATCAAACCGTCCGACTATTCTTCGCAGCACACCGACGCGTTAGTTTTCCGTCTTTACCACCTTTTCTGGTTGTTCTGAGCAGCCCATATCAGCCTGGATTAATACACTACGGTCACGTTCCTGAGTGATTACCTACAGGACCTTGTCTCCAAGGCTTTATATGATGTTGGTTGGTGACGAATGGGGGCCACCTTACACTTGGACTAATTACACTGGGGCAGGTTGCGCAATAACCAATCATGCGCCCTGTGCAGCTCTCGTTGAAATGTATCCGGATCTCCTTGGTCGGCGGTCATTCCAAATCGAAATATCATCAACAAAAAGGAAGCAGACCGAAGCAATTAAACGCGTAAGCTCATTAATAAACACCAAAAACAGATGCAGCACCAGCACGGATCCTTGGGGAACTCCACATTCGACCTAAATCGGATGGGATGGCGCACTTCGAACTGCAAGAAATACCTGATCCGCTTAAGGACAGGATCACCAACTCCATAGCTTTCGAGCCTGTGAAGCAGAATGCAGTGGTCCAGTCGGTCAAAGGCTTTGGAGATATCTAGATAAATTACGTCTGTCCCTCTGCCTGTATCGGCCGCTTCCGCCCAACTACTGCGTGAAATCCGTAGGTTAGTAGTGCATGAGCGGTGCTGGCGGAAACCGTGTTGCTCGGGTGGTATGATGTTGTGGCGTTCTAGATGGTGGACTAAAGCCTCAGCGATGATTGCCTCCATCACTTTTGAGAGTACAGGAAGGAGGACCACTGGGTGATAATGTGCGGGTTCCAAGCTACTGCCAGTTGTGAAATTGGGGGTAGTATGCCATCTTTCCACATGGTAGGCACAATTTGTTTATCCGATCACGTTTGGAAGAAATGAGATAATCGCTTGGCCAGCGTTATTTCTGATAAGTTCAGGGCCCTCAGGTGGATGTCGTCGACTACAGGTGCACTGTTGGTGCCCAGTGAGAACAGTTTCTTCAGAACAGACGATGGGCCAAAAGTCGTAGCAAATCCGACTGTTGTTCACTAAATCATTTGTTATAATTAGTGTGGGCAATCAAAAAGAATGGCAGATGGACGCTGCATGAAGCATAATCGCAAGGTCGCGCTTTTAAGTGAACCCTGGGCATAAGTTTCCATTAGCTGACTTATGATGTTGTACAGATGCGGTAACTGAGAAAGGTTCATGTAATTGAATGCATAAAATTTTATGTCACTAGATTTGATTATATCCTAGATTATATTTATCTGTTACCGAGTTTGTGAATATATACAACATGCACGTGTGATTAACGGCACAGAGGGAAAACCGTAAACGGACTAGACGTAGCACGTTATCAGACGCCTTTACAGCTTACTTTTCACTCACACATCGGAAATTTCCGCAAGGCTTTTAATTGCCAAGATGTTATTTTAAGTTCCTGTTTCAACCTCCAATGTTCATGTTAGCAGGGGTGACGGCACAGTTTTGCAAAACAATATGATTGCTATATTCATTGTTTATAAATGTAGGCAAGTCAGATACAAAGACGAGGTTTGACTTGAGACAGTTCCCATTTGTCAGTCGCAGCTGAGACATTTCACATGTTCCTGTTACCTTTCAAAGTCTTTCCGCTAATTTCAGGAGCTTGAACTGATCAACAACGTGCAAGAAATTCTCAAAAAAACCATTGAGCAGACGGAGACACAAATACAGTAAGGTGCTACGCTTTTTTACCACGAAGTTGATTTCTAATGGCTGCCTCTTGACTGCCCTACAACACAAGTTAACCGTTGACTTTGCTCACTTACTGGGTTTCTGCATGGTGATATGCGATATAGTTTGAAGTAAATTGTGGTCTTGTCCGGAACTGAGATCATTAAAGAATGTGTGGCTTGGGGACTCAAAGCAGCTGGCCTCGGAGCTCAGATTTGTGAGCCATCAACACCTGGATGTATCTGCGTCCGTCAATCGCAATGGTGATTAACTCCCAAGCAACAACACCCGCCATTATGAGTAGTATTATTGTTGTTATTCTTGTCATTAGCAGTAGTAACGGCAGGCGCTTTGCTAGGTTTACCTTGGTTGCTGTTGTTGTTGTGGCTGTGTGTACGGTTTTTGGCTTTGTCCGTTTGGGGGGGGGGGGTACAGAAGCTCAACCGCTTTTGCAACACATGCAGGCTTCGCCCATCTACCTTCACTTACGGCCACGTGAATCCAAGAAGCGGACAAATGGCATGGACAAAAGTGAAGGGCAAGACCCGATAAAACACTCCCTGCCTCCAACCAAAGGGAGTGCCACGTATATATTCTTATACGGAGGAATGTAGGATGCAACGGGGAAGGTATGTTACATGCTACACCCACATTGCGATGTGCTCCATAGAGACCACCGCTTAAGGTGTTTCCATACCATCCTGCACTGACTGCCTCAGCTTTATATTGGGGTCTGCCAAAGATGCGCCGTTTTCCTTCTCTCCAATGAGGCAGCTCAAGATCATCTTCGACGCGGAACGTCGCCGTCCAAACGCTCAGTTGCGCGATACTTGATTGTACATCCTTACTCTGATTATTCACTACATTGCATTCCTACCCGGCCATGCAAAATGTTAGAGTCCATCCCCGGGTATCGTTTCCTAAAAAGGACTCAAGACATGTATGTTCCACGAAATCGGGATATATGTTCATCACAACCATAGTCATGCTCAGCTCAAAACACTGACTGTCACAGCATGATCCACAAAAGTTTATTGTGATTGCAGACGTACACAATTACACAGCCTGGATGGTTGTTTCCTATGTTTATCCAGACTTTACGCTGAAACCCATCACTTATGTCTCGGGGACACCATCCCAGCTGAGAAAAATTAGTCATAATGAAAAGGGGTCTTTGGCTAGTGACGTGCGGTTAGGAAATTCCACTTCCGAGAATCCACATGCCCACATAACATATGAACCAATGCTTCAACGACTTTCTGCTCTCTCCCCCTTCTCTCTCTCTGCGCTCTTGTTAACTTTATCCTCGGCTTAGTTGCTGGCGGCTGAAAATGCTTTATCGTGCACTAGTGCACCACAATTCCGTTACTTTACTACACGTTTGTGCAACTTCCCAAATCTTGTTACCCCCCCTCCCACCGTTTCCTAGTCCACATTTTGTGCCCCCTTGGGCTAGCGTTCGCGACATACGGATCAGGAGTTTAGGTCCCACGGTGTATCGCCAAGTAGTACTGGCAATTCTTTTCTAGCGGCCAGTTCCTAATTCAAGCTGACAACGTTTACCCTCCGGACGCTGATGCAGATTTGATCACGAGCAATTCTTGCTCACACGCTTGAGATGAAGGCAACTGACATCTGCTGCTCCACTGGAACCCAATTACAGGACCATAGCACGACGCTATGACTGGTTTCACCGTTTATGAGTTCCAACGAGATTTTCGCATTGTGCTTATCTAAAGGCGCAGTCTCCGAAGCCGCTGGTCTTGCCGGTGTGGGGATTGCGTTGAGCAAACGCGCTGAAGACGTGCTACTTGAGTGGACCGCTGCCAACCGTTGAGTCTGCCCCGTCCGACTTGAGAACACGGTGAGACTTTCCGGCCGTGGATTCAGAAGACATTGCTTGTTCGTTGTAGTAGCATACTCTCCTGCAGACTGCAGTCCGGAGTCAGTTAAAAACGAGTTTTACTGTGAACTGTCCGACCTATTCCGCGAAAAAGCGCCTTACAGACATCGTGGTGTTTGTAGCGGACTTAAATGCGCAGGTCGGTAGACTTGAGGTAGGAGAGGGCAAACTTGGTGGCCGACATGCCATGACAATTGCAGAACGGACAAAAGTGATCGCCAACTTCAACTTCGTGCCGAGCACGGGCTCATCCTGTCGAGTACTAGCTTTCGGCTATCCTGGCACCAACGCGCGCCCTGGAAGCCGCCGTCACCTGGCCAGCCATGGATGCAGATTGACCATATCACCATCTGGTGGAGATACATACAGGATTGCAAAGCAATATAGAGTACCTACCTCACTTCGGATAACGCGCTCGTATGCGCCAAGATTGTTTTACATTTTACTGGTCCACCGCGGCATCGCCGAACACGGTTTGACGTGGTCAAACTTACCACCCCAAACGTTCTCAGCGCGTTTCAGAATGTATTGGCCTCAAAACTCAAGAGCGCACCGTAATCTGACGTTGAAACGCACTGAGCACACATCCGCATCGCCGTACACAACGCTGCGACCTTGGTCTGTGGTTTCACCTGTAGTCCTGTCAACCACTGGATCTTTGCACGATCACTCTAACTTCCTGGAGCTCGTCGGGTAATAGCAGCTGACACTGAGTATCATTCACTACGCGTGACCACTAACACTGTACTCAAGTAGCTCCTTCGGGAGGATGGTGAGACCATGTGGACACAAAGGGTCATTGATATGGAGCAGATGGCCAGCTCAGGGAATTTCCGAAAGCTTTTCTATCTGATCCGATCACTAGGAACAAAAAGCCGACTGTAAGCGAAGTTTTGTGCGAAACCAATGGCGAGCGAATCAACTGCCAATAAAGCACACTTGTGTGTTAGGCCAAGCACTGTTCACAGTAGTTCAACTGGCCTGCAGCACCGGTGATCTCTCATTCGGGAAGCCGTAGTTTTCGACATGGTTGCCCTACCTCTACTTTCATATTCGAATTTGCCATTGAGGATGTCCTAAAGAACACTTTGGGCGATTCGTTGAACGCTGGTGTTGAGCTCCTCCTAGGTAGTCGAGTTGTTGATTTGGATTATGCTGATGATATCGTCCCGCTGGGTGACGATCCACACGCTGTCCAACTTGCACTAAACCGCTTGACGATTGAAGCATCAAACTACGGTATGTAGTTTTCGTCATCCAAATGCAAGACTTTCTTTCGAGACTGGCAAGTGCCTGTGTCTGCACTCACTCTCAGTGGTAAGACACTAGAGGTTGTGGAGAGCTTTGTCTACTTGCGAAGTTGCAACACTATTGGCGGGGCTGTTGGAGACGAAATTTCGTTGAGTATCCCAAGAGCACGCCCCGCTTATTCTAGGCTAAGGCACTTGTGCCGTCGCCACGACATTTGTCTCTCCATCAAAGGGCGGGTCTATTGTGCAACTGTTCGTGCTGTACTGTTGTACGGATGTGAGAACTGACCAATTCGTAAAGATGATTTGCGCAGGCTATCCGTCTTCGAGCACTGCTGTCTGCGGTCCATTGCCCGTGTGGTGGCAGAACCACGTAAGCAATGTGGAAGTTAGACAACGTGTCTTGGCACGTGGAAGCCACTCGCTAGAGAAGCTCGTCTCACTGCATCAACTGCGGTGGTTGGGACACGTATTGTGCATGCCTGTCCAGTGTTACCCGCGTCGTGCGTTGTTTGCACTTGCTGGACAGGGCTGGAAGAGACGGTCTGGTGGACAGCCTACAACTTGGAGAAGCCACATGAAAAAGTTGACGAAACAGTTGGCCTCGGCCGGTTGTTGTCGACTACCTGGTTGGGGTCCGAGAGATGAGGATACTTGTTGGTTGAAAACCTTGGAAGCCATGGCTCAAAATCGGTCAGTGGAAGACGTGTTCATCAATGTGTTGCGGTGTCCTTCCTTTCCTCAAAATAAAACTGGAAAATATTCAAAAAACGTGAGTGGCGAACTAGATAAAAAAAGTATCTTGTTGTTAGTTTCTTATTATTCATGATGTTTTCCTATGCAGCCATGGTTTTGATGTCACAAGGTCTGTGCCATGGATTTGATATATATATATATATATATATATATATATATATATATATATATATATATATATATATATATATATATATATATATCCTTTATGGTCACTCGTTTTGCCTACTGACTTCGAGCTGTTGGCATCGATCTTTGCAGCGACGAAGTTATCCCTATATACCCAACCAGAAACAGTTCCTTTAGGATATAAGTTCACCGTCCAGACTCGTCATACAGACGGTTCCGGACAAGTGCATGCTTTGTCTCGCCTTATCAGCAACCATCGCGTAATAGAAGACTTCGATGTGCGTCAGCAGATGTCAGATGCCATTAGTGGGATTCATGTGGCCGCTGTCCGTCAAACTGCCGTTCTTCAACGTGTCATTACCACTATCCGTGCTAGTCAGCCGCTGGAAACGCACACAGGTGAATCGCATCAGCTTTCTTGCTGTGGGGAGCCACTAACCGTTGTGGATTCTGGCCTCAATTTTCGCCGACTGGGTTTTGTGCCGTCATTTTTTCGTTTGGCTATTCTGAGTGTTTCACTCAGGCCATTCAAGAATTAGCAGAATGGAGGCCACAGCACGTTGGTACGTCTACCTGCCACATGTGTTCTATGTGTCAACAAGCCACCAAACTATGCGCCAGGCATGAGTGAGCCCCGCTACAACCAATGAGATACCCATGGCCTTGTCTTCGTTGGTCCATTCGACGAATCGCCATAATTACTCCCGGACGACGCATACCTCGACTGACCCAGTGGCTTCAATCGCCACACCCCGTCTCATTCCGGAGGATCTTAAGCTGTGGCTATCCGCTTGACGTGCTCCTTTCAAACAACGGATTTGACTTCTCTTTAACCCCTTGCACAAACCTCCGTGCCCGCTTGAACACCCAGTACACATGCTCCCAAGTGTATCACGCATTGTCGAGTGGTCTGGCTGAACGCCTCAGTGATATCGTCAAGTGAGCGCTTTTGAATTCGCAT